ATTGGACCCCATACCCATCCTGTGGGTGGTAGTGACCCCATACCCATCCTGTGGGTGATATTGGACCCCATACCCATCCTGTGGGTGGTATTGAAGGCCATACCCATACTGTGGGTGGTATTGGACCCCATACCCATCCTGTGGGTGGTAGTGACCCCTATACCCATCCTGTGGGTGGTATTGAAAGCCATACCCATCCTGTGGGTGGTATTAGACGCTATACCCATCCTGTGGGTAGATGTGACCCCAATATCAATCCTGTGGATGGTATTGGACGCCATACCTATCCTGTGGGTGATATTGGACCCCATACCCATCCTGTGGGTGGTATTGAAGGCCATACCCATACTGTGGGTGGTATTGGACCCCATACCCATCCTGTGGGTGGTAGTGACCCCATACCCATCCTGTGGGTGATATTGGACCCCATACCCATCCTGTGGGTGGTATTGAATACCATACCCATACTGTGGGTGGTATTGGACCCCATACCCATCCTGTGGGTGGTAGTGACCCCTATACCCATCCTGTGGGTGGTATTGAAAGCCATACCCATCCTGTGGGTGGTATTAGACGCTATACCCATCCTGTGGGTAGATGTGACCCCAATATCAATCCTGTGGATGGTATTGGACCCCATACCTATCCTGTGGGTGATATTGGACCCCATACCCACCTAACAGGTGGTGTTGGACCCTATACCCATCCTATAGTGGGTATACTAGACACCATACCATGCTGTTTGCAGCAGTTTAGCCCATAGACATTCCAACATAACAAGGTTTTCTGTTGACGTTCGTACAAAACATTCTTTAAAGATTTTTTAAGCACAAACTAGTGTATATAATGTTGATTGGTGAAACATTGTTATTCTATGTAATAATTTATAGTGCTTATTATAATTTACTAAGAACAACAAATATTTCTCAAAACAAAACTACAACCCTTCAATAGGATGTAGCTGATCTGTAATATTCTAAGAGCATGGACAATAGTAGGTAAATTTCACAACCCTTGTGGGACCTGAAAATTACAATTTTCATTATAATTGAACCAATCACGACTATTTTGCTGTCTACGGCGATGGACGGATACTGTGAGACGTAAATTAGTACGTGAGGAAGAGTCTGGGCCTTGCAAAAATGTAACTGAGAATATACCACATATGTACTAATTCATATTCAACATATTGACTTTAAGCATTAAGTCATATATGTGCTGTCTTTTGCGAGAGTGGGTTGAATGGTTAGGAGGATGAGGGGATGCTGGAGTGGGGGATGGTGGTGGAGAACAAAGGGATGGAGGGAATGGGGAATGGTAGGGAGGACGAGGGGACTGGGGAGTGAGGAATGGTTGGGAGGACGAGGGGACAGGGGATGTGGGAATAATGGAGAGGACTGGGAGACAGGGGAAAGGTTACTGTGGCTCAGCAACTCACATGCATTGCTGAGCCACAGCAACGTGTGGCCGGGGACTGCTAGTTATATTAATAATAATAATAAATACCGCATCAGAAACAAACTGCACGAGCTAGGTCTATAGGTGAATGCTCCACGTTAGCAGACCAGGCGATTACAAAAGATTTTATTTGTGTTTTAAATCCGACCATATCAAGGTATGCTTCTGCGCTGAACAGAATAATCACATACTTATAGTGCAATGCTATCTCATCTGCAGGCTCTGCTTTCTATATTACTCCTACTCCCACATCTCCACCTATGAACACACATGTTAGAGATAGAGTCTTTAAAACACACTTCACACAAATAAATAAGAAAGTAAGTACGTAGGTAAATAAGTACATATACATTTCACATTAGTAAGTAAGTATGAATGTATGTATACACTTCACACTGAGTAAGTAAGTATGTATGTATGTATGTATGTATGTATGTATGTATGTATGTATGTATGTATGTATGTATGTATGTATGTATGTATGTATGTATGTATGTATGTATACACTTCATACTGGGTAAGTTTGTATACATTTCGCTCTAATAAGTAAGTACGTATTTATTTCACATTAATATGCAAGTACATATATATTTCTCATTAATAAGCAAGTGTGCATGTATGTATGTATACACTTCACAATAAGTATGTATGTATGTATGTATACACTTCACACTGAGTAAGTATGTATACATTTCGCACTAATAAGTAAGTACGTTCGTATACATTTCACAAACTATACTCACGTGTTAAAGAGCCTGTATCCGTCTCTCGCATTTCTCAGATGGGCGGTACTGTTTAATCATCCAAATTAACTGCATATCATATCAAAGGTATGGATTGGTAGAAGAGATTCCTAATCAGATTTCCTATCAGATATCCTAATGCAGATTTCTATGATAAACCACAGAGGGATGGAGATCGGAATTGTTGTTTTATTAGTGATAGACCCGTGTTGGTGGGGGGGGGGGGGGGGGTATAATTGAATCAAAACCGGATAACGATAACAATCCTCGCATGTTTGGTTTAGTTTCATGTTTTGGAATGGGTTCACTAACCGACAGAAATCCCTATACTATTACCTAAACCATGGTATCAAAGGACACTCATCTCCACAATGTATTGGATTTAAACACTCATGCAAACAGTCGGGTATTTAAAAACGTCTATCGTGAGGTTATCTTGAGATGATTTCTGGGATTTAGTGTCCCCACAGCCCGGTCCTCGACCAGGCCTCCACCCCCAGAAAGCAGCCTGTAACAGTTGATCCAGGTACCTATTTTACTGCTACGTAACAGGGGCATAGGGTGAAAGAAACTCTGCCCATTGTTTCTCGCCGGCGCCCGGGATCGAACCCGGGACCACTGGATCACAAGTCCAGTGTGCTGTCCGCTTGGCCGACCGGCTCCGTGGTTAATCTATTACTCAAAATAAGTATTATTCCAGGAATTGAAGCAATAGTACTTCCAGGTGCTGATAGTGGAGGGTGTTGTAGTGAGCATCATGAAGAGGATTTGGGGGTTGAATATAGAGTCATACTCGAAGAGTTATCATTACATCTTTCCCCACTCGGGATTAGTGATTGTATTGATTCCATCTCCCCCACCCCAATCCCAGCTTCTTTCTACATCTAGAAGGGGTATTGTATGCAGGTATAAACTTTATTTATATTAGAAACAATGACATAAATGACTGCCATGCAATGGTGCGTAATCATTGCATGGTATCTGTGAGATGCGCACATGCATGCACAGTAAAGGATAAAACTTGCTAAGCCGCCATTAAATTCATTAGCTCAAGGGCAATTTGCACGTGATTAACCCTCACTCTCCTCAAAATGAACTCTGTAGCAATCCACCACGGTTTCATGTCCGACGATGACTTCAACAAACGGGAGACCTGCATAGTTTACGCTATGAACTGAATATCAACCACACCCTATGGGATTGTGTTCGACATAGCAGAAAAGTATCCTCACGTAACTGCATACAAGAGATCACCCTTATATAATCTAAAGAGATGTGTCCTCAAAGAGCGTCTTACTTCGGAAAAAGTTAGCAAAAGCGTGTGAGCTTAATTGAGGGAGTAGCTCAAATAAGTATCTCCCAGGGGAGTTGGAATGTCATGTACTCGACGGGGAGATGAAAAGTGGGAGACTAAGTTTCTACCTATCATTCGAAATATGCAGAAAACCCTAAAACCAAACAATGTTAAAGTTATTTTTGTGCGTAGTGGTAAGGAGGAGGAGAAGGAAGCGGTGAAACCTAAATACTTTCTCAGTAACTCCCCTTCAAGCAAAATATATACCCGCTCTACCTCCTCACGCTTACACACACTCATACTCATCACTTGATATGACTCTGCCTAATATCTTTGGAGACTTCCCTTCTCATTCGGACTACTCCGACACGGACTGTGTGTTTTTCGACTTAGACACTAGCAGCACGTTGGCAAATTACATGGTGGAATTTTATGGTCAAGATATCCTTACACTCACCTTAAGTGTCATAATCTACTCTACACAAACTCCTCACACTTGGTGGGAGCAGTAGTATGTGTGTGTGGTGTGGACGGTCCTCTGAGGGGTCTACTGTCCTTACACTTAGTGGGAGCAGTAGTGTATTGTTTGGTGTGGAAGGTTCTCTGAGAGTTCCACTGTCCTCATACTTGATGGGAGCAGTAGTGTGTGTCTTTGGTGTGGACGGTACTATGAGAGGTCCACCGTCCTCACAGTTGGTAGAAGCAGTGGTGTGTGTGTGTGTGGTGTGGACAGTCCTCTGAGGGGTCCACTGTGCTCACACTTGGTGGGAGCAGTAGTGTGTGTGTGTGGTGTGGACGGTCCTCTGAGGGATCCACTATCCTCACTTATTGGGTGTGGTGGAATTCACTCATATAATAAGATTCAAAGGTTAGGAGAACCATAAACCGTAATGAGCCAATCGGATAGCTCCTAACAAAACCGTTAATTCCATTTGGGGTAGTGACCTCTTCTTGATTGTGGCCACCGTGGCTTTAGAAGTAAGTAAAATTGATAGCTTTGTGTTTACTAGGTAGGCTACTGTGCCATATGCTTTTCCTGAAACATTGCAAAACACATGAAAATTTGCGGATTGTTTTAGTCCTAGGGCATTACCTAGGAATTTTAGAGTAATGAGTATATTTAAATCCGCTGTCATCTGCTGCCAACTGTCTTGCAAATCATATGGCAATGGATCATCCCTACCCATGTTCGTTTGAAAGCACTCCTGCATGAGGAGTTTGCCCTTAATTTAAATAGGGCTAAGTAAGCCTAAAGGGTTAAATGGTTTACTGACAAAGGACAATAATTTTCTCATGGTTAAGGAAGAATTAATAGTTTCCTCTGATTTTATATTTAGCTCATCAGTAGAAGTATTCCATTCCATGCCAAGATCCATTAAATTGTGAGGTACTTTGTACCCTCGAAATTAACTTTCTGTTATTTGATTTAACTGTCTATCATTTGGAGCTTACAACTGTAGAGGCATATTAGCTCCCAGTAATTCGCGAATAGCCTCATGATAGATTTAGATTAATTTTGACTTGTCATTTGTAGTTCCCTGGAAATTGTCAACATATAAATTATTGCTAATTTCAATCTTGTGAGGACTTTCCAATTTCTTCAAATGTGTATCAAATGTTGCTTGCAGTAGAAACAATGAAGAGGTAGCTCCAAATAAGTCTGATGCAAATCTGTAAGTTATGATTTCACTTCGGGGATCATTAGGATGCTTTATCCAGAGGAACTTTGTGAAATTGCGGTCTTCTTCTTGTAGACCTACTCTAAGGAAAACCTTACTTATGTCAGCCGTATAGGCGTAGGTTCCTAGACGAAACCGTAATAATATGTTGTTGAGTCACTGAGTCACACTCGGGGCCAGTTTGTAGGCAATCGTTGAGTGAGACACAATTTGCCTTCATCTTGGCAGTACAGTTGAATACAATTCTAATGGGCGTAGTGACAGAATCTTTCAAGATGGCGTGGTGAGGCAGGTAATGTCTTTCCTTAGAATTATCATGTTTAACAACTTCAATAAACCTGTTGTCAAGTTGTTGTTACATCAAGTTATGGTACAATTGGAATTTGTAAGGTTACTTGTTCAATCTAGCCACCTGTGATTTAATTAGATTTAATGCCAAGAAATGATTTACTGCCAATTGGGGATGATTTAATTTCCATGGCAGTTTAACCCAGTATTGATTATCTCCATAAATAACTGAGTTAATATATTGTTGATAAGTCCAAGTGTCATCTGGACTTGGTTGCTCAGGGACAATGCCTAAAGTTTCTAGATCCCATAATTTATTTACGGGGGGGGGGGAGGGATCAGAGTTATCTTCTGCCATGTCTTTGAATTGGAGTGGTGAATTCCAAGTCTAGTCACGCAACCATTATTGAGTTAATTTTTTAACTATTCGTTATTGTAGAAATTTTCTAAGGTAGCACCAGTCCCGTAAGCAACTTGCCTCAGGCTAAAAACAACAAATTCATTGCCTGTTGCTTGGTGCACCCAGTAATAAATTTATAATAATAATCTGCCACTGCAAATTATACCGACATCGTTGAGGCGATCAGAATTTATTTTGTAATCAGCCAACTTCATCCCATTACGTTTGAGAAGTTTGGTGGTATTTCCGAGACCATAAACATAGAGGTCAAATGGAATTTTGTCAACAACAATAGCCTTTACTGGACTGGTATAGCCTCCTAATTTCATTTGACACAAGGGTTTCAGTTTTAGCTGATCAGCCAGTTGTTGTATAATGGATGTATTCAGAGATCCTTGGTCGAAAAGACCATGTGCATGATCCTGTATTTCTTATTTGTTAACCGCAGCTGAGCTGTAGATAACGTATTGATATTATCTGACGTGGTAGTGAGTACATTTACTTCTTGATGTACTTCGCAATATTGCACAGTGGTGGAGGTACTTGATTCCAATTGAGGTTTAGGTGACTACATTCGTGTCTCTCCACACAGTGTATAATGATGTTGACCCTTATGGCACTTGTTGCACACGTGTAGGCAACTGAACAATTACTTGGATTATGTGATTCAATGCATCATGTGCATTGACGTAATTCTTGGAGACGTTTAACTCTTGAATTACGATCTAGGTATGTGTGTAACATTTAAAGGTTATGTGTTCCCTTTAACAGAACAAACATTTTCTCTCTCACCTGTCGTAGTAATTTTAGGAGGTACATTCACTACAGGTTTGGAGGGATTTACTGTGTAGGTACCCACATTGTTACCTTTCCATTTTGGAGAGGGTTTAGTCATTTTAGGTTTTACAAAAGTATTTGTGGTACCCTGAGGTTAACGGTGAGTTGAAGGTGATGAAGGTACCCTGAGGTTGATGGTGTTGAAATGCCTTCCCATCCTGGTTAGCTCGTTGTCGTTCGACTACAGAGCCTTCTGTTAAGTCTGTCACGTTCAATGATGTTTTATTGTTTAATGTACACAATTTGTCCAATGTTTCACTGGGCAACTTGCGTCTTATGATCACGTGTGTCAACCATTCAATAGTTTTATGGTTGACTTTGAGGTTTAAGCCTTAAGTAGGGATCCAAGTTCCAATCGAAATGTTTGGAGAGAGTCTGTAGAACTATCAGTTGCTAGTAAGTTCAGCAACTTTTGGACTAACATGATGATAGCTCTCTCGGCATTAGCCTAATTGCTTTTAAGTAGCTGAACTGCGAGGTCATAGCCATCACTGGTCAAGTTTAAATTGGAGATTACCTTTAAGGCTTCATTTCGTAGTTGACCTTATAAATAAGTAAACTTAGTAGTTTTGGGAATATTGGGTTTAGAACCTACTGCATCTACAAACTTATTCCAAAACTCATACCAACTTTCATTCTCGCTACCAAAGAATGCGGGTAGACTGATCAAAGGTAATTTTACTTCAGGTTGTGGAACGTTTGCAGTCGTTAACTACTTTATTCTGAGTAATTAGATTAATAAAGGGCTGCAATTTAACCTGTAAATCATCTTTGTACTGGGCGAATTCACGCATGATGTCATCTAATTATGTTTCTGTAATTTGTGTCTTACTAAGTTCTGACAAGTATTGAGTTATCTGAACTCTAATTTGTTCAAACATATTATTAGAACTTGGAAATAACTTTCCAGCTCTAAATAGTCAGTGGGTGACTGTTGAGACAGATCTTGGCATTTGTTGATCTCTCGGGTCAAGTGATCTTTTAGAACTGTAAGGGTCTTTCTCATTCTTCCAGCCATATCCATCATTGGTGGTCAAAGACTTTCTGAGTGTGGTGTAGTTGCAACTAATGTAGCTAGGATATTTGTTCATGTAGCAGAGACAAATATCGATATGACACCTAATATTTAATTTTCGTGATTAGGCTATGGGATCCTACCACTTGTTGAGGTTAGCTTACCTTCCTAAACATGCAATATATATATATATATATATATATATATATATATATATATATATATATATATATATATATATATATATATATAAGATTTCAGTGGTACTTGGATGCCAGTACAGTTGTACCACCAGCTAGTTCTTCTCGTTCCCCTTTAGTTGGTATAGTGACACTTAGTAACACTCAAAGAGGTAAATAGTTGGAAATATAATAAGATAAATACACAATTTGTGTAAAATAGTAAATCCCACCCTACTTACGGTCTGCACAACATGAAGTAATAATTAACCAGTGATGTTTAATACAGTACTAGTCTGATGTTAAATCTACCTAACAAAGTAGCTAATAATAGTTTAGGCTTATAAAATAATATCGAAATTGCTGGCAAATAGTCTTCGGATTGCAATGGATAAATTTATATCAAAGGAACAGTTCTGTGGTGTGCCTGGAAAATCTATAATCAATTGTAACATTGTAATTAGGGATGTTGTGTATTATGTGTCTGAGAATAATGTTTCTTCCTCCATGATAAACCTCGACTAGTCGAAACTTTTTGACTGTGTTGATGTTCAGTTTGAATTAGGAATATTGGATAGGGTAGGAGTGGCACAAGAATTTATTGATTGGATCCGTATGCTTTATAAAGAGTGTCGGAGCAGCATGTGTATCAATGGAGTCTTAAGTTAACCTTTTCAGTTGAACGATCGGTACATCAGGGATGTCCCCTTTCAATGATTTTGTATGTTATATTTCAAGAGCCACTGTACTTGGCAATAAAAAGCAATGACTTTAATGTTCCACCTCGTCTACCTAATGCTATGACACTTCCTGTTGTTGGTTATGCTTAAGATTCAACTATTTTTATGTCGACAGAAGACTCAGTGGTGAATGTTAGGATGAGTTACACAACTTTGAAAGAGCAACAGTTGCTGTCATTAACAAGAACAAAATGTTCATGATGGAGCTTGGCAGTTGGTGTATTAAAGTTACCTGGACAGGTTCATGGTTCAAGGTAGTTGAGTCTATTAAAGCTCTTGGGATTTGCTGGTGTAAAACATATGGAACATCATTAGTTACAAATTGGCAAGTACTATGTGGAAATATAATAGTAGCTACGAATATGTTGTCAAATAGGAAATTAACCCTGTTTCAGAAGGCTGTAATAATCAATTGCAAAATTTTGCCTAAAGTGTGGTATTTGTCTCACAGCTTTCCAATTGACAAGAAAAGTGTTATGGAGATTGACAAAACTATTTGTAGATATGTATGGTATGGTAGATACAACCAATTAAACGGACTACTCTATGTAAAGGTAAGAAAAACGGTGGAATAGGAATATTGAATGTATACTATAAGTCATTGGCAATCGTATGTATTATGTTTAGAAAGGAGATAATGCAGAGGAATAGTGTAAATGCACTAGGACATTACTTTTGTAAATTACGTGTTAGCTACTTGATACATATGCCAGAGTATACTGACCTTGCCTTTATTTCACCTCACTTTTATTCATGTGCATTTGATGTTCTCAGGCGAATTTGTAATACTAAAGGTTTTTTAATGATAAACAGATAACATGTGTATGATATTCTTCTCCTAAATATAGTTCCTAGAGTAGAAGAGGTATATCCACTCTTTAGCTGGCAAGTAATATGGGCAAACCTTCATGTTAAATTTATTGCCCCAAAACAACGTGAGCTGTTGTATCGCTATATTCATGAGACCCTCCCTACTAATAATAGGTTGCTGATGTTGGGCATTAAGTACAACAATAGGTGTGACCAATGTACTGAAGTTGAGAATAATATTCATATATTTTATTTCTGTAAGCAGAAAGTTGTTCTTGTAAACTGGATTAGAGACACTCTTAAAGCTTTATGTGGACCAAGTATTAGAGTGGAGTTAATGAGGTTTTTAAGGTTTCATATTGACATAAAATGCAAGAATAATTATGATACTTTTTTATTACATTTTTTGTTTGTGGATAGGCAGGCAGGAGGGTTACTCAGCCGACAAAATATTGAAGTTCTTGCGAAGCAGGACCAGGTATAACATTTGGGGTTTACGGCTCGTGCTCGGTGATGATATGACAAATTTCTTTACTGAGAATATATAAAATATATATAAATGTAAGAATTTCCCCTGTAAATTATGTAAATATAATCTCTAAAATTGTAAATCATTTATAGAAAAATAAATATAACATTTAGGGGTTTAAGGTTCATGCTCTGTGATGATATGAAACACTTGTTTACTAAGAATTATACTTCTGTATATGTAATGTAATATTACCTTGTAAAATTTATGTATATATGATTTATACTGTATTTTCTTAAATAAAGATAAAAAAAATAATAGTTAAGGCTAGAGTTATACATGATTTAGCACAATTCCAGTCCAAAAAAAAAATCCTACCCCTCGTGGATTTGCATGAGATACAATAATAATGATGTTCTAAAATGTTTGTATAGCAGTGCTATTTTTTGGGTTTTATAGTTTTGATTTATATAGAATATACTTACAAGAAACACATGAATAAGGATATGTAAATATATACAATTAATGTTGGCTTTCTTGCCACAATCTCATATGATGATTGATGGTATTAATTAATTTGCTGACCACATATGCTCTAAAATCTCGTGACAGGTGTACTCCATCTGGGGCAAGATTTTCACGAAATGGTCTGGTAGAAAAATGAATATAGGTGGACTCCAGCCTTGCTCTTCTCCTCAGCCGGAAATTTATATACTTGGCTGCATGTTGGTAAAATTCAAGACTCACTCCCCAACGATTACTACTTCTTGGTTGGTGAGGTTCCACTAATGTGAATACTACAGTGCAATTATTTTCCCTGAAGGAATTGATAATATTTCTGAGATTATTTATGATTTCAGCTGGGTGTCGAGTTGGTTGGATGTCATTGCCACCAAGATAAATAATTGTTAAATGGTGTGGCCAATCTAATGCGGATGTTAACACAGGGTTATTATAAAAACTATGAGCGGTTCTCCAGGCGATCTAAATATTCTCACTTCTGTTTGAGGTATAGGCCTAAGTGTTGTGGGTAACTGGCTATGGCCCACTAAAACCACTTTATACATTCGGCCCTAACCAAACATGAATGGAAATATTTAGATAAATTATAGTGGTAAATAATTGAGTTAGGCTTTAATATGAATGGCGATCAGCTGACGGCCATAAGAAATAACAATTGTATAGCCTAGCTCTTGATAATACTCCTTGATTAGGAATATAGTATTATCAATGATAGTAATTGGTTAGTTTGGCAATACTGATATTCAGTTGATCATGAAGATCTAGGTTCAAAGAACCATAAAAAAATTTATGGTGTGGGAACCAGTGATTTATATATGATGAACTGGATTATCCGCTTCGAAGTCTACCATAAAAAATGTGGGAGAATTCACTCTAACATATAATAAGATTGAAAGGTGAGGAGAACCATAAATTTAGTATGGGCTCAGAGAACCAGTGATTTATGGATCTCAACAATAAATTCAACAATAGATTTAAAATGAATTTAGAGAAGTGGACTATAAAACTTCTATTAAATTTGGAGCTTATCCCTTACACATCCTTTGGGGGGGTTAAATTTTATAATGTTAGTATATTTATAATATTGAAATAACATGTTCATAAACCATTAGAAATCAATAAGGCATGGGTTAATTTTCTAACTACAATATGGAACAGATAACAGATTAGCTGCCAAAGTTGAACGTAGATTACGTCCAGCAACTATGACCCGTTTAATCCTGTCCGAGTTGATATCTCTAGCGACATGTGACTCTATTTTTGGAACTACATCTCTCTTGAAGTTAGCTCCACGCTGAAAGAGAAATCATATGGAATTTCCAC